CTGTTGGACTTATAAATAGAGACTAAAAACAGATATAAAATTATAGAAGACGTGTGGAAATGCATTTGGTTTGACCATCTGTTTGTTTGACAATTGCAATCACCTGGAGTAAGTGGATGTGAATCTGCAACAAAATGGAGGCGACCTTCGTTTGTAACAAGGTGCGGGACGCAATAATACAGGAGAGCAAGAACTGCAGACAACGTAGGCGAAGTAAGACAAAAAACGGGACCAGTTTAAAAAGTTGGCTTGTTAATAACACAAAGTAAAGAAGAAAGGAGGAAGAAAAGGAAGAAAAGGAAAAATAAAATAAAGAAAGGACAAAGGAAAATCAGTGGCCTCTGTTTTAAAGAACCTCTGATTTGGGACATAAAAAAGACAAAAAAGGATGAGGAATACAAAAATTTGCGCCATATGAGTGAGAATGCAGAAAATCAACGTAGAAAAGAACAACAGTACAATGTAATCATAGGGAGATTAAAGGCAGAAAGCAGATTTAATGTATTGGATCTTATAGGTACTCCACAACTCGGAAAATAACGAACCAGGAATGGATTAGTAACGAATAGATGAAAGATATAGAGATGGACAAAAATACTGAATGGGATTTAGGTTTTGTTCTGTCTTGCCTTTTCTTTTCTCAAAGTCTCTCAATATAATGAAATAGAGGGCAGAAAGAGAGTATAATATGCGAGTGCTTTATAAGGACTGTAACATGGGTTCTGTTTGCATGTTGGCTTGTAGTCAGAGGAAATTGATCCATATATATAGGATGAATAGTCTGGTAATCACAGGTTGTTGTTTTTCTTCTGGTTATTAGATAGTGTTTACTGATGGTAGTTATAATTGTGAAATTAATAAATGGTGAAATGGGAGTATTTTATGAGGATTGATGCATAGACTTAAAATTGACTATGTTAACATTAGAATTTCACTTACTTTGGTAAATAGATATCTGGAATTATAAGAAAATAAGAATGCCAACAGGTATGAGATTATATAATTTTAATTTGAATGAAACGGCTAAACAATAAAAATAGATCAGGAATTTGTAGGCTAAACTAATTAGCTGTGAGCAGAAATTAATTATAAGATATGCAACTAATTGTTGTGGTGTAGTAGCTCAATTGTTCAAATTGTTAACGGATTGGGGGTGGAGGGTGGTGGGTTGTATGTTTTTGTTGTATAGTGTTGGTGTTTAAAAACTTAATAAAAATTATTATTTAAAAAAAACACACAACCAATATCAAAGTAGAGAATCCAAGCCCAACCCGGAACCAGATCCTATCCAGGTCCCTCTTGAAGCTGTCCATGCTTGTAGCCACCGCAACCTCCTTGGCAGTGAATTCGATGTGTTAATCACTCTTATTAACCAGCTACTTTTCAACATCTGTGAGGCCTCTATTGACATTATTCTTCCCTGGATTCTATTTCACCTTATTGTTTATCTCTTGTTATGTTATGCGTGAGAAACATCTAGCAAATAAATCACAGTACCTATACAGATTTGCTCTTTCTGATGTGAAAAAATTGCTTACTGCCCTTGCCACAGAACAATCTTTAGAATAGATTGCTGAAGAACATGACAGAACCCCGTGTCAACACTTTATCTATACTTCTCCCAAATCTCTACAAATAGATCACACTGCAGTCCTCTCATGTTTGACCCTATCTGTCTTGTTCCAAATTATCCTTTCTCTCAAAAGGATAGTTGTATCTAATTGTTCTATAGACCAGCTGTAACTTTTATCTGAAGATTCCTACCTGTGGAAGAGTACAGCTAATACCATTCCAAGGATTTGGGTTTTGTTTTGTTTTACTCTGGTGACACAGTACAATCCTAAACAGAGAGATGTCCTTCTAAATCCATTTACATTAATGGGTTTAGAATTGCACTGTGATTCTTCTTTGAATTTTTACAGTGGTGCTGTTTCCTCAGTCATTGTGGCCTGGAGAGAAAAGGGAACTTTAGACTTCTTGTCTCTCTCCACAGCCTTGAGAGTGGCAAAATCCACTGTGGCATGATATAGAACAATTGTGGGCATGGCAAGGGGAGCGTCTGTTGAAATTAATTCCGTCCTCTGATACCACGTCTCCCCAACCCCGGGACCTCCTGTTATATTTCATGTCGCGGATAAGAGAAGATAAAACAGAGAAGTCCTCTTTTTTTCCTTGCAGGTATTCCAGAGACGGACCGATGGCTCTGTGGATTTTTACCGGGACTGGAACTCTTACAAGAGAGGATTTGGAAGCCAACTCACTGAATTCTGGCTAGGGAATGACAATATTCACCAATTGACCTCACTAGGTAAAGTGTATGTTGCCTTCCATTTCACCCTCATCCTGACAGGAGTTTTTGCTTTTGCTGCAGTCACCACACAGTTCTGCATATTCATTTATAAATTAAAGAAAAAATCCTAAATGGCCCAGTGAATAGTGAGCATTCATCATTATGATTTAAGACCCACAGCTGAGTATCAGCTAAAGAGGAAATAAAGGAAACCTATAGTGGCAGGACAAATTGGCCTGATCAAGCCCCTAGTTGCTTATAGCAACCGAAATGGGGGCAAAGTTAGGTTTGGGAAGATGGGTTTCATGAGACATGCATCCCCATAACCCAATTCCCCATATAGCATAGGGAAAGGGAGGTAAACCCTCCCTGTGCTTTATCAGTCTTGTATGTGGCTAGATGACAAATCTAGACCCAAACCTCAACAGTTCGTCTATCGGACAAATTGCTGAGGTTCAGAACTGGGTGTTTGTTCAGTCAAAGAACTCAGAAGTCTCATTATAGCATTGTGTAGACAGGATTTCACAGCTGGGTTCCTGATGGGCCCTAATTTAGGGTTGCCAGCCTCCAGGCAGTGGCTGAGATCTCCTGGGATTACCACTGATCTCCAGGTGACAGAGATCAGTTCACCTGGAGAAAATGGCTGCCCCATTGAAGTCCCTCCCCACAACTCCACCCTCCTGAAGCACCATACCCAAAATCTCCAGGTATTTCCCGACCCAGATCAAGCAACTCTAGTCCTAACTTGTTCCCTGTAAGATTACAATTGGATACTCTGTACCAAAAACAAGAAAATGGATGCACCCATAGACATAACAGGAGTTTCTGCAAGCTTGGTGGGCTTTGCAAGTCTGGGGACAAGTATCTGATTATAATTTTTTTTTAAAATACTCCCATTCGCCAAAAGTACTCCCTGAGGAGAACTGAGTATGCTCAGTGCCCTCTAGAAAGCATGAGTCGTTAAAAGAAACTTTCAAGGATTTCCGGGTTTTGGCGGCACAATGGCAGACGTGACCCTGGTGAGCTCCTGGGGTCGCTATCCGAATACCAGTGGTTAGGAGGGGGTGTGATTGTTCACTACCCCCCCCCCGGAGCCCTTGTTTGGGCTTCTAGCCATGGGGCTTTTGAGGGATTGCCTCTTTTCTGGCTTGATGCCGGGGAATTGAGGCTTCCCTCCGCCCCGAAGGTCCTGCCGCTGTGCGACCGCATGGCTCGAGAGTCGCTGACCAGGACAAGCGCGTGAAGATCGGGCATTTTACACATACCTGAGGTGGGTCTTAGGACCAACAATGAACTGTGAGTCATGTTGAAAGCAGAACACCGAGTTTCGGCCAGAAAGCACCTTCAATCTAAACGAACGGGGGAGAGAACTCCCAGATGTGAAAGCGAAGCAGATCATATTAAAAAGAGGGTGCCGGATGTAAAAGCCATAGAACTGATTTAAGAAGCACACAAGAGCACAGCAAAGCATTTTGGTGAAAAACAGAGACTTTGGCAAACTTTCTAAAAGTAAACAACCCTAAAAAATGGTGGGGTGGAGAGGTGAGAAAGAGAAACCATCACAGCTCAAGCCTCCTTCAGGAAGTAGAAGTCCGCGACCAGAAGCTACCAACGAGCTTTGCGCCCTCTGCTGGACCAGATGACAAACAACAATCAGCAATTGACCACTTTGAACCAGAATTTTGCTGCACAACAACTGGAACGGAACGAAACTAAGGAATTAACAGAGCAAACAGCAGAAACACTGAAGGAAGTTAATGCCAAATCTAAAAAGGTGAAAAAGTGTGCACAGGAGTTGGAAAAGAAAATAATTACTGATGAATCTCAGCTTTTACAACTACAAATGGAAAAAGCAAGCTTTATCCTGAGATTCCAAGGGGTTCCTGAGACAAAAGGAGAGAATCTAAAACAAGTATTGGGTGTTTTACTTGCACCAGTTGTAGATTTGAAAACGGAATATCTTCAAAGCAAAGTGGATGTGGTCTATAGATCATATTCAGAATATATTTTTAAAAAATCTGTCTGGTTCCGGTCTGCGGCTCAGCGATGGCAGACGCTCTCCCCTGAAGCTGGGGAGGCATTCCGCACTCTAGGGGTGTTGGAGGCGTGCCACCTCAAGTGGCACCCCCAGGTGAGCCTTAGTGAAAGGCTCCGAGCCGGGCTGGGGGGGCGACCTTGGTGGAAAGCCAGAGAATTGAGGCGCTCCTTTTTGCCCCAATCGGTCCACCCCCTGCGAGGCTCGGTTTTTACTGAGCATAGCTGATGCCAGTCGGGACAAGCAAGAAGGTCAGCGAAAGAGCGCAACTACAAGGGGTCTGTGAGTAGACCGTCAATCGGAGAAAAAACAGAGCGAAAAAATTCTAAAAGTTAGTCCCCCCCCCAGCAGAAGCGGCGTCGGGAAGGAATCCCAGACATAAACAAACCGAACTGAGATACAGAGACGGGGGGGAGGAGAAAAAAGAGCGTTAAAGTGTGCCAAAGACTTAGCTGTTTTGCGGATAAGTTTGCGTTTTGTGAAAAAGGGCGAAAAGGTGCTCCTTAGTGTAAACAAAGCTGAAAATGGCCGGCGTGCGAGGAAAAACAGCGAGACAAGTTGGGCGGGGTGGTCGAAGTCCGAGGATTGAGGAAGGAGACGTGTTCTCCATGCTATCAGAGCTGCTCCAGCCCATAAACGAAAGACTCGATGGTATTAACCAACAGATGACTGCATCCATCCAGAGTTTGGCAAAGCAACAACAACAGATTGCCGAGCTGGTTAAAAAGTCGATTCAAACAGATGAAAAACTTAAAGAGACTTTCTCTCAAAAAGAAAGTTGGTCTGTTGGAACAAAGGCAAGACCTTCAAGAAAAGAGATTGTTGAATCTGCAAATGGAAAAAGCTAACAAAGTTCTCAGATTTCAGGGGGTGGCTGAAACGGCAGGAGAAAACTTGAAGAAAGTGATAGCAGAGCTAATCGCTTTGGCGCTCGGCAGCTCATCGGTAGAAGCGGAAGCAGAGATCGAGGTGGTTTATCAATCCTACTCTAAGTATATTAAGCAAAATAATTTTCCGGGCGAGATTGTTGTCAAGTTTCTCCGAAGACAGATGAGAGATGATATTCTCA